ATTATCTTATAATCTTTATTATTATATATTGTCAATGTTATTAAGATCAAAATTATTATTTATCTCATAAAGCAAGACAAAGGTTTGAGAAGTACAACCTGAGGAACTCCTAATATTACTAATTATTAACTGAATGATGGTTTACTACAACACACCATTCATACAAGAAACTGTTCATTGTCTATTTAGCTACTATATTTTCATTTCAATTTTATTTTAGGATGATAAAGAAGTAATATACATGCATCTAATTGCTACTAGCTATTTTATTATATTTGTAATTTTGGTGATAATTTGTTATGCATTAATAAGAGGACATAAAGTTGAACAGAAACAAGATGCTAGACATCTCTTAACAGGAATGGTAAACAGTAATTATATATATACTTATTTATTTAAATTAATGAGATATTTCTTTCAGATTTTACACACTTGATGGAGCAATATTATATTTTACAAGTATATTATATTTTCTTCCCATATTTTTGTTGTTTAAGGCAAAACCATTTATATGTAATTTGTTGTTAAAGTCCGTAAATAAAGTGATCTTATCAAATTTGACTCTTTATTTATAAAATGCTGATTTAAAGGTAAAAAGAAATGTCATGCATTAAAAATAAAAAAGGTGTATTTAAAACATCTAAGTACAAAATAAATGAGCATCAAAATAACTTACATGCTATAGGTATAAAAGTAAAAAATACTTTTCATTTGAACACAAGAACAAAACATCCAATACGTTTGGAAGTTTTAAATATATGTATAGGTAAAAATAAAAGGGAGCAAATGTCTTCAAAAATTAAAATAATAAACCTTACAATTCAAAAATACTTTTTGAGATTACAAAATTCGCTTAATTCAAAAGCTAGCTCTTGTAAATACTTTGTCAGGCAGTGTTTATTGTTAAAAATACATTGATCGAAATCCCTTTTCTTACCTCATCATAATCAAACGCTTTAGTTTGTCACTCTTTGACCTTTTCTCTTTCATAACAGTGATATGTTCAGATGCATTACTATCATTGAGGGATGTAGATGGTTGTGCCAATGTAGGTGTTTCAATTCCAAAAGGGCTATACAACTTGGTCGGTGTTCGACCTAACACTGTTTTAGAAAATGTGAGTGGAGTCGCAGGTGCACCGTTTGGGGCGTTTGGGGTAAAATTTGTCTCTTCTAAAATGTGTCTACGTCTCGTTCCTCTGAATCTCTAAAACAAAATGTTTAAATAACACACCATTCTGTTATTTCAAAATTTAATTACCTGTGACAAACTAGTTAATGTAGTTCTAAAGTTATTTAATCCTTTATGAAACTTCTCAGTACCTGTTCTTAACATTTTCCTAGAATTATTTAATGATAGCACCGAAAGAACAGATCTATTGTTTTTATTAGAACTTGATTCACTGTCGTTAAACCGGTCTTGCAACTTTTTACGACATTTTCTGGGGCTCGAATTTCCCTTCTTCATTATACATACATTCTGATGAAACTTAAATCTACTATTTTTTTCTTCAAAAGCCATTTTCTTAGAGTTATCACAAACTACCCCTGTTAAGTAAATGTTCGTTACTTCTGGTTTTAAATTTTGAATATTTCAAACGGTCCTTAACCACAGAGAAAAAATATAATAAAATGCAACCTCTGTCCTCTATGGTTACAGCGTTGTTCGAATAGTTGATACAGAACTGAAGCAATTTATTTTACCTTACAAATGCATAGAAGTAGTACGTAATCGGTTTCATTGCCACTATTATTCCCAAANATCATTATACTTCCGCATCCGCGTCCGTTTCGGTTTCTGCTAAAATGTACTATTTTGTTTGCGTTATGGCACTTCCGTCGCATCACCACCCTATAAATGGCAGTGAGACGTGAGATGAAAAATAGTGATAAGTGAGATGAAAAGCACAACAGCTGCAGAGGAGGTCACTTTATTTTTTGTATCTTTCTTTTTAAGATACACATTTCTGATGCGTTTGTCTACTTTATTTTATTGTCTTTGTTATAATAGCACCTCCGATTCCGATTTTTCAACTGTAAATTAACCACTTCTTGTTAAAAACAAACCATTTTGTACCTGTATTGCAACAGCAATGACATACGAAGGTAACCAAATATTAATTAAAAATAGTGTCCCAATGATTAATTCTTTAATCATGTAATTTCAGATTTGAGAAAACAGGCTCGCCAATTAGAATGTGAAATTGATCTTAAGCTTGTGGCATTTAATAAATTAGCAGCAGGAGTCAAAACTTCTCATACTCATGGATCATCAGACACGGTGCCTTTACTTTCAGAGGAAGATACCTTTGATACGATGGCTATGGAGATCCAACAACTTTTAAACAAAGTCTGTTAATTTATTAAAATTTTATAGTTAATTGTTTACTTATTAATTTCTATTTTCCAGCTATCCCAAGTAAACGAAAGGATGTCTGAGCAGCCAGTGTCTGGTGTAGCAATGATGCATACAATTCAGAGACATCGAGATATTGCAGCTGATTTACAGAGGGATTTTCATAAAACCAATTCTCAGTTTGTATCTAGGAGAGAAAGAGAAGAACTTTTTAAAAATGTTCGTACTGATTCCTTTAGAACTGAGGGCGTTAACAGACGAGACATGTATTTAAAGGAAAATACACATATTCAGAAGTAAGTAGTTAGTCCATAATAATTCTGTTTATTATGTTAAAGAATTTTAGCAAGAATTTTTCTTTTAAATAAATTTTATTAATTGTAGACAATATTTTGGTCTTATTATTAACTGTTTATTTTTTTTATTTTTAGTTCCGATCAATTGGTAAATGAACAAATTGCAATAGCAATGGAGACAAAAGATCATTTGTTAAACCAAAGACAAACATTTAAAAGAATGCAAACCCGTTTTAATGATATATCTCATAGATTTCCTGTAATTAATAGTTTAGTGCAACGTATAAATTTAAGAAAACGTAGAGACGCAATAATTTTAGGATCAGTAATTGGAATTTGTACTTTTCTATTATTAATGTATGCTTTTCATTAGTGGCCTGTGATTGTAACGTATTGGGAAATATTTGTTAAAACGAAAAATATAAATAAGGAGGAACCCAGTGGCGGCTCCAGATGGTCTACACTGGGGGATGCATAATTTAAGAAGTAGGTATAAAAAAAAGCTTACCTAAATTTCATCTACACATTAGAGGGATGTACGCTAGTGACCCTAGGCTATGGATTATCTCTATACTCAGTAACAGTAAAAATGCCGAACCAATGGTATTACCACAGTATAAGGGTTTTCATCTGTATAGTAGGATTATTCCCTTGAGCTAACCTGAAATACCGGCATTTTTGCAGGCGGTCATAAATCAACTTTATCCGTTCTGAACTTCTGTATAGAATATATTTGTTCTGTATCTATATAGTTTCAAGGGGATGCAATTGCTCATTTCCTCTCATTAGAGACTAGAGAGCCGCAACTGGGTGAGCCTTCTATATCATAAGATTAAGAACATTTTATATTTTGAAATGGTAAAAAAATTAGTATTTTAAAACAATAGTTTTATTTATTCTATGTACGTTATTGTATAATATCAACTTGTTATAAAATTATTTTACACAAATATTTTGTTTTCATTTACAACTCATGAAATATGTAAAAACTTACCTATTCATAATCTTTTGGTATCTGCCAAATGGGCTTACACTACTCATCGTTAGTGCCAAAACTTATAACTTAAACGAGGGTCAAATACTTAGTAGAATACAGTAGGTAACTCCCATGCAACCCTGTAATAGTGATACAATAGACCTCTGCTTCCACTTCTGCAGTTACAGAAGTTCTGCATACATTTTCACATCTGCTTCTGCATCTGATTCCGCATTTTTATAACGGAAGCTTATCGAAACTTCACAAAACTTTTTGAAAATCGATATATTGGAACAATAAAACAAGTCGTAAAAATTTATTTTTTTTATCTGTTGGCTGAATTTGACCGTTTTCAAAACATAATTTAAATGGAATTGCTTGTTGCAAAGCTGCATCTTGGACAGGTACCTCCGCTACCTTTGAGTGACCCCTCTGTAACATTGTGAACGTATTGTCAACCGTTTATGTTAATGAAGCGTTATAGCCAGCAAAATTTTGTTAACAATAATATTGACCCTGTGAAAATAATTTTATTATAGTTTAGGGCCAAAATATATTTCCTAGTATGTCGTATGTTGATATTTTCCAAATTTTATTCTCTTATTAGCTTTCTACTTTAATCCAAAGACTTTCAGTTCCCCCTTAGTCAGTTCTAATAATTTCATTTCGAAATTACTAATATAGTTATAGCGTTTATTTATTTTGTATAGTGTTTGCTTAGTGATGTAAATTTTAAGTTAAAAAGGCAATTTTGATGCCAAGAAGAAGTTCCGTTAGGGATTATTTTGTTGATATTAACGATGTTAAATGCAAAATTTGTGACAAAATATTCGCGAAAAGGGCGCACGACCACGACATTAAAGAACTACGTCAAATCATTATACTTCCGCATCCGCGTCCGTTTCGGTTTCTGCTAAAATGTACTATTTTGTTTGCGTTATGGCACTTCCGTCGCATCACCACCCTATAAATGGCAGTGAGACGTGAGATGAAAAATAGTGATAAGTGAGATGAAAAGCACAACAGCTGCAGAGGAGGTCACTTTNCTAATTTATTATTTCAATTCGCTATAGAAAGAAACAGAAAGGGTAATCTTCAATATTTTTGGCATGAGCAACATATCAAAATTTCATAAATACTTTAACTAATTGATAAATTTTATCGTCTTTTATCGTTAGTATAATCTTCTTTCAATTTTTAGATACCGAACTATACCTCTGGATTTTCTAAATTCTGAAAATCGTACCTATAACAAAATGATCTGCATACAAAGCCCTCCATTTCAGTACAGAGTTTTGCACAATTAGGTAAACTTATATTGGGAAATTTTTCCTTAGGATGAACACCTAACTTGGCATTTGGAGTCATAGCATATTTTTCTAAGTATCTTTCACAGTTAATTTCGTCACTTCCATCAGAGCAGTCCTGTTGATTTAGAAATGTAGTATAATATTACTGAACAATGAATATACATTCAACTACTTCTTTGATACGATCAACGCCTCTAGTTGGTAGTTAATATATCTATTTCTTTGTCATTTTACGTACCTTCGAACCGTCACAAACCATACTGGAAGGTACACACTCTTCCTCATCTGCACACCAAAAGGATTTCAAGGAACAAGAACCATTCCTCCTTCTTCCATCTAATGGAAGGGGACGAAGATGTTTTCTTGAACTAACAGTAGATGACGGAGGTATTCTCCAATCATGTTTTTGACTGGAAGCCATATCTTCTTCCTCCTCTTCTATTTGGCCTTGGAAATTATTGTCAGTGTTTGATTCATAACCGTCTGGTGAGCCTTCTGAAGTAGATTCCAGAAAAGGTGGCTGAAGTTCCTGATTAATACTATAAACCGATTTTGGAGTTTGAGAACTTCGATGAGTGCTATAATCTTCATAAGGAGGCTGAAGTTCCTGATGGATAGTATAACCCGGTGTTACAGGATGAGAATTCCTATTGGCACTGAAATCCCTAAAGGGAGGCTGGAGTTCCCTATCAATAGTGTAACTCCGGTACACTGATTGGATATTTTGGCCAGTACTGGAATGGTGAACGGGTGGTTGAAGTTGTTGGTTAGGGGTGTAGTGAGGATATAGTGGTTGGAGTGGTCTCTGAGTATTCGAATCTTCAAAAGGAGGTTGAAGCTCCTGCTTAATGGTATATTGCGGAGATACAGGTCGAAAATTGTGTTGAGTACTAGAATCCTCAATAGGAGGTTGAAGTTCCCGATGAATAGTGAAACCCGCTTCAGTACTCCCGCGAATTGTGGAATCTACAGTAGGTAGTTGAAGTTCTCGGTTAATGGTGTATTTTGGGAATGCAGGCTTCAAAGCAACATTATGTTCCGGAAAAGGAGGTTGAAGTTCTCGACTAATGCCATAACTATGAGGGGTACTCCCAAGATGATAATAATAGGTGTTTTGTTGTTCAGGTAATTGTTGATGAACTCTTAAAGGATTTGCTTGAGGACGCGGATTTCTTCCTCCATATGTAGTATAATAATAATTTTGCTGTGGAAATTGGTGTGCTCTATGTATAGGTAATGAAGTCGAAGAAGTATCTCTCCAGTCCTCAGCATTTACAACTTCTTGCCAGTTTTGGGACGACGCAGGCTTGGTTAGATAAGTACTTTTGTCTGTTGGCTGAGGTTCTCCTGCCTTCTGCTCATGACTAACACAGTGAACGTTGTATGGATAGTCACAAACCTTAATAACAGGATTAAATAATGTACCGGGACCACAATCCTGAACAAATGTTTGACCATTTGCACAGTTTAGAAATTTAGAACAGTCGAAGGGGTGAGGATGAACTCCCACAGCTCCTTCTGGACATTTTGGATTTGAGTGTATCTGATGAGTAGGAGGATAACCAATCCATTCATTGGACGAAAGTTGATTCGAACGGTTCGTTCTTAACTGATCATTGCCTTCTGTTCGAATTTCCCTGTAGCCAAAAGGCGTATTATTATTATGACTTACTGAAGTGCTATGGTGACCATCTTGAGATTCGCACGGATATTTATTACAGTAAGCCTTTATCACCGTCTGTGGTAAGCGAAATTGAGTTGTATAAATATAGGGTCTCCTGTAACCTAATGGCTTCAAATTGTGGTGACTGTGATGCCCATTGTGAGAATGATGCGGACCCTTTGTCCAATGTGCGCAATTTGCATTATGTGGATGGTCACAGTTGTTAATCTTTGTACTGTAGAGGGTTCCTGGAGGACAATCTCGTATATCTTCAGAACCATTTACGCAGTTAATAAATTTGGAGCAGTCGGTGTGATGTGGAATGAAACCATTAAAATCTGGGGGGCAAGTTATTTCGAGCTTTTCAGATTTGCTTTTTCTATTATTTTCGAGCATTTCTGTAGTTCTCGGGCCACTTATACATTTCACTTTGTGAGCGAAATCGCATTCTAGCGTCATCGGATTGAACATTGTACCGGGTGCGCAGTTTTGAACGAAACCACGACCTTTCCAGCAGTTCAAAAATTGATTACAAGACAGTGCATACACAAACTGTCCTGAAGCCATTTTGGGGCATTTGTTATAGGGTACAGGAGCTTTCTTGATAGTTGTTTCATATATTGAAGTACCAGAGACATGCAGCTCATCCTCTTCTCCAGGTGGAATGACTTCCTTTTTCAATTCTTTTTCGAAAGTGTTGGATACATGTTGGTTTTGGTTCTCCGCCTCCATGACCACTTGAATCTTTTCAGGAATGCCACAGTTGCGAACACATTGAGGTCGTAAAACTTCTTCATTTGAATCACTTCCACAATCACCGTTATAGCAACTGGGTTTTGTTTGAGAATGTATTGGAATCCACCTATTACTATTGCTTGGTACATATCCATAGCGAGTTGATGGAAAATTGGAATATGTTAACTCAGTAGTTACTTCAGTATGTCGATGGCTTGATGTAATAAAACTGTGAAATTGTTTTGACTTCCTGTTTGTAAATTTGGGCGGCAAAAGATGTTGTGATGGACTTCTTATTGTGGTTGTAAATTCTGTGTCTTCTACATCACTCACTTTTTGATCGAAAGTACTTTCACTTTCATTTTCTATAGTTTCCGAATAATCTTCGGAAGGTGAAAGTTCAGTGGTACCATTTTCGTCATCGTTATCATCATTGTGATCTCCGCGTTTAGGAGGAAAATGTGTTTTTTGATGATATGGTCTAAAGCCTTTCGTCCGAAATTCTGGATTTCTAGTTTGTTGTGGCCGATATTCTTCAGTTGTATCACCACTGTCGTCATTATATGATGTTGTGGTAGTGATATTTTTTAACATTGCCCATGACAAAATACGCGGCAGTTGCTTATATGTAATTATATTGTGGGTTGTATGTTCATTATCATTTTCGTTTTGATTCAAAACTTTACTGTAATTATGGTGTATGAGCAAATTGTTGTGTTTCTCTGGATCTTGCCATCCCAACGTTTTTATACCTAAAGTTGTCAAAGCTTTTTTGTTTGGATTTTGACCAGGCACGTATATCTTCAAATAAGAAAAACATTTCGAAGCATTGCAGATGAATAAAATAAAATCTATGTAATACGTTACTTACAGTTGAGCAAAGATTTCCTACACTAAATACCACTATTACTGCGCTCAACAATTTTGCCATTTCACTCTAAGATCTGACTTAGAGAATACACGAATTTCACAATTAAAATAGTACAAGTTCTACACAAAGATATTCGAACACGATTATTATCCGCAATAGAAGTATTTTATATGTTAATAACTATTTAAGTACATAAACGTTATCTTTTGATGGGTCGGAGTTCATATCAACGTAACTGTACTAGCTTTCCAAGTTGATTCATAACAACAATAAAGAAATCGCTCCACGAAATTTATCACTTTTCATATTTACTTAAACTTCTTCAGAATTAAATTTCTATCTACCTACCTATTAGGAAATATTAGTCAAATTACGTCAGATCTTATACAGAGAACATGAAAAAAAGTATAGCTGAATTTTTATTTTTAATAGTTTCTGAATGACAATGAAGACAACAACCAATGTAATAATTGGCTTCAATTTTTGTACTTTTTGATGTAATCGATATAATAGAATGCATTTATTTTAGAATCTATACGATAATATAATAACATTTATAGTGCTTCAAAATAATAGGTTCAAACCGTTCACATTTTACGTAAGTGAGACACAAAAAGTAAAGAGTAAGAAAGCACTTTACAAGCCTTTTTGCTTTCCAATTATCAAAATAACTAGATAAACAATTATTATTTATTTAGAAAATGTACCTACAAGTGAAGACATAAATTAAACAATTCTACTTTTAGGGAAATCCGAATTCAGGATAGGAAAGAGTGCAGGTGCCTGTCCAATCAGTCTTAGGACTGACAACCCTACGATGATGATTAAAACAATGTAGATACATTACACTAGTATATTTCATTCAAAACTTAATAAATCATGACCCCATCAAAAGGCTTAAAGCATAAAATCAGTAGAAATAAATCGTACATGAATAATGAATAAATTAAAATTTCAAAAATTTGTAATATCTTTATATTGTCAATAGCTCTGAAAAACAAGTTTTATTATTATTTTAATTATTTTGTTTGTAAAACACTTATATGAAATGATGTAGAAACACAAATATAAAAGTTAGTTGCTTATATCTGATTTCCTTCAGGAAAAAAATGGAATCTTTTGAAAAATGTCAACCTTAAAACTTTACAAACACTTTCAATAAACGAGCTATTTAACCGTAATCGGTTTCATTGCCACTATTATTCCCAAAACTTGTTATCTATGGTTTATGTTTTTCTTTATCTATGGCTTTGCTTATAGATATTAGCTTATGTTTAAGTTGTAAGGTTATATGGCGTATTTCATGGTTATGTGATTATCTACTAGTTTTTAGTGCGTATTTATTATATATAAAATATTTACATCGTGTGCAACATTTAAAAAATCTACCAATTTGAAATGAGTATAAAGAGATAAAAAGTTCAACTGTAAAATAAACAAATCATCTGCAATTATGGTTTGGAACCCAGTAGCTAATTTTGCAAATTGCATTAAATCTAGACCTCCACTTGTTGTTTTTGCCCTGTGCTTGTTTAGTTTTTTAATTACTGCAGTTTCGTTAGCCTATTACGTCCAACACGACAACATTGAAAATAAAGATGCTCAAGAAGTAACTACTTATCAATTCAGAGTGTTAGATTTTCTAAGACAATATGCACTAATTTTAGCAATGGCTTTCACTAATCCACTTCATTGACAAAACAGGGTTTTGTATACAAGATGATGCTGCTGATACAAAGACAAATTTTTCTGCCGCAGACAAAGTAAATATAAATACCTATGCAATTGTTACTTCACCAATAACAAATAGGACTTTTGTTCAGGGAATAGTCTCCTTAAAAGGTAGATTGAATAAAAAACAACAAATTAATGAATAAATAATTGTCTCTTTTTAGAATGGTCCTTTCCTTGTTTGAATGAAGCTGAAAAACCGGAAAACATTGAACTGTCTTTTAATATCCATTCAAAAGATAACAGTGATGATAGAAATGTTTGTGTAACAATATCAGGTCCAAAGCAATTCATGCCCAAAGTTGATAGTCATGTTGAATGTCCAATTTCAGAGGAAAAAGAGGTAGGTACTTTACCATTTGTTGTTTTTATTACTTTGCTGATTGCTGTTGTTTTTTAGGTTTCCAAGAAATTATTTATATACAATAATGCAGGTAGATGTGTCAATAGGCCTGTAATGAGACTAGAGTTTGATAGTAGCAGTATTAATAAAGTGGAATCAGAAGAATACTTATCATCGGTAAGTAAATAGCTTAAGTCGAAATTAAAGTGCAGATGCAATCATGATCTATTTAAGATATTATATTACCCACTGTATATGATAAAAATGTTAGGAACCTGTGTTGAATTTTTTGAATAATATATTGAGATAACTATTATCTT